TGACAGATACGCCAAGAATGTTTGCTGACGTTTCGGTTATAGGTGAAAGTGTGTTGCAACTGGCTCCGATTTCGTCTAGTACGTTCGACGATTCTCCTAGATCGAAGAAGAGAGAACCATAGTGTACTCAGAACACTCATACGCCACACGTTCAATGCAGATGCGTTCACTGAGCTGATAGCATCGTCAGACCTGGGTACGACCACCGAGGAAAAGCATTGTCGCCGACTACGACGATTTAGTGGGGAAAACACTTGCTGTAAAAGCTTCCAGCACTGCAGCAGAACCCGAAGAAGACAACGCGTATCAGCGGAAGCGGTTCAGATGATGCAGAAGAGAGCACGTATGAAGGCCGAAGGAAGAGTCCAGAGCGATGAATATCGGACTCTCAGTAAAACGATAAGGGAGAGGATAAAAGAAGACTATGAGGGCTATAGGCAAAAGAAGCTTCGTGAAGCGGCAGAAAAGAGGGCAAGCCTGAAAACAGTAGAAAGAGATGTCCGTCTCAGGCAACAGATACCTCTGCTCTTGAGGATAATTTACGTGTTCGCGCAACAAATCGTCAAAGGATGATTGAAATTTGCACGGATTCCTCATTGATTTGTATTCTTCAAAGGTGTTTGTCACAAAAATCCGCTCAACTGCTGCTAGAGAATCGGTCCCGAATGTCATGTGGGAAGAAGTCGAGCATGCAGTGAAGGGGATGAAGACTGGAAAAAGCCCAGGAAGTGACAACATCCGACCCGACCATCCAAAGGCAGGCGGAATAACTCTATTCGAAGCATGGGCAAATACTCACCACCTTTCACCTTTACTGCATCGAAGGAAAAGTTCCGACGGCGTGGAAGAGATCGAAGACGAAACTGCTGATGAAAAAAGGAGATCCTTGAGAATCTAAACAACTACAGGCCTCATTACACTTGTCTCAAATATGTCAGGCTTTCTCGAGAATAATCCCAAACCGTATTGTCAAGGATTTGGATATGGTCTGAGTAGGGAATAGGCCGGCCACACCATTTACATGCTGTACGTCAGCTCACTGAAAAATGTGGAGAATTCCAAATTCCTCTCTGCTTGGCATGTGTCGGTTACAGGGAAGCCTCCAACAGGTTGAAGCAAACGCAATACTCAATGCGATGAGCAGATGTGAATTTGGAATTCTCCACATTTTTCAGTGAGCTGACGTACAGCATGTAAATGGTGTGGCCGGCCTATTCCCTACTCAGACCATATCCAAATCCTTGACAATACGGTTTGGGATTATTCTCGAGAAAGCCTGACATATTTGAGACAAGTGTAATGAGCCTGTAGTTGTTTAGATTCTCAAGATCTCCTTTTTTCATCAGCAGTTTCGTCTTCGATCTCTTCCACGTCGGAACTTTTCCTTCGATGCATAAG